AAAAGTTCGTCCATAAAAATTTTGAGAAATCTTTCTACCATATCGAAAAAATACTAATCATGCAATGTTGGAATGTGACAAATGCGTTACATAGCCCAAAAGGCATGCGTCGGTATGTGAATGTTCCATACGGGCATATGAAAGTTGTTTTCTCCTGATCTTCTGGAACGATAGGAATTTGATTGTAATCTGAATATCCATCCAGAAAATAATAAAACTCATGTCTAGCTAATCGCTCTAACATTTGGTCAATGAAAGGAAGAGGGAAGCGATCTTTCCAAGTGGCTAAGTTGAGTTTTTAATAGTCAATGCAAACTCGCTATTCAGTTTGGATTCGAGTGGGAATCAGATCATTAGCCTCATTTTGGATCACGGTGATCCCAGATTTTTTTGGAATAAATTGGACCAAACTCACCTATGAACTATCAAAAATGGGATAAATGATCTCATGATCAAGTCATTTTAGAATGTCTTTTCTAACAGCTTCTTTCATTATCGGATTTTACCTACGTTGAGGATCTCTAGTAGGTTTGGCATCATCTATCAAGTAAATTCGGTGTTTAATAATGGTTGGACTAATCCCCTTAATATCAACTATGATTCATCCAATGGCTTCCCTATTCTCTCTTAAGACATCTAAGAGGGCTTTCTTTTGACTGGTTGTCAAATCAGAAGAAATAATAACTGGTAAAGTCTCATTTTCCCTTAAGTAGGCATACTCTAGATTTTCAGGTAAAGGTTTGAGCTCTGACTTAGGGGGTTCCTCGACAAATGGGCAAAGTTAGACTCAAGGCTCTATCTCCAAAGGTTCTTGTTGCCAGCTAATTGCAGATACATAATTGACCAGCGGATCTAACCCTAATTCATCCTCAAAAGACTCTTCAAACACTAAGTCAGATACACAGGAATCTAACTTGCACTCTCCCTCTTAGTGCTCACTGGATATTCCCTGAATGAAGTTTACTTCCATGAGTTGATTAGATGGGTCATTAGGCTACCTTCCTAGGTTGAAGATATTGAGGTCAACAGTCATGTTTCCAAAAGATAGTTTTATCTGACCCATCCTACAATTGATCAAAGCATTTGAGGTGGCTAAGAACAATCTTCCTAGAATGACTGAGATTTGACTTTTGAGATTGGAAACAGGATGTGTTTTCAAGATAATAAAATCAACAGAAAAAATAAACTCTCCAACCTTGATTAAAACATTCTCTACCTCTCCTTTGGGAATTTTCACGGATCTATCAGTTAATTATAGAGTGCATCTTGTCGGTTTAAGTTCTCCTACACCTAGCTGTTGATAGACTGAATAAGGTAGGAGGTTGACGCTGGCTCCCAAGTTTAAACGTATAGAATTGTGGGACAACCAGGGTCCTTATACTTTAACGACATGGGCTTTGAAAAACTTTTATTGAGGTTGGTAGCTAAGAAGACTTTCTTGGGGACATTTGTGGTTCTTTTCTTAGTGCATAAGTCTTTAAAGAACTTTGCATAAGAGGAAATTTGTTCAATCGCGTCTAAAAGAGGGATGTTGATCTTGACTTGTTTAAAGGTTTCTAGAATTTTTTCAACTTGCGGGGAGTTCTTCCTAAATTTGAGTCTGTTTGGAAAGGGGGAACGGGCCTATACCTATCTAGATCAGGCTCAATCTCATGTTCAACTTCTTGGTCATCGAAAGGAATTATTTTATCATAAGGAGTATGTTGGATGGGAGAAGGGGCTTGATCCGGTGGCATTCTAACTTGGTTGTCTATCTATTTTCCTAATCGTAAATTGTGAACTGCATTCACATGGGCTGGTTGGGTTGAACTAGATCCATTGTCTTTAGGGTGAGCAACAGGTTGACTTAGGATTTTTTTTCTCTCTCTCACTCACGTCATTGGCTAGTTGCCCAAGTTGGATTTCTAATCAGGCTTTGGCTTTAGTGTTCGAGTAGAGCACTTGGCCGGTTGTTTGTATGAAGGAATTTAGAGAAGTGGATGACTGGGTCAACATGTTAGTGGTTTGTGTAGAAGCTTTAATCATAGCCTCTAAACCCTTTTCTAAGATACTAAGATGTTTTTTGTGGTCAGGACCTGAAGGATTTATGGGTTGATGAGGATGAGGATGTTGGTTTGCAAAAGGTAGATTAGATTGTTGAAAATTATTTGGTGCATTGAATGGAGTTGTGTTTCTTCTAGGAAATTGCCGATTTGAAGCAGGCATGAACGTTGGATTTCCAGCAGGATTTCCTTGGTTCCAGGCAAAATTAGGATGATTCCTCCAACCCGGATTGTAGGTTAGAGAGAATAGATCATTTCTAGGGCGCTAGAATACAATATTCATCTGTTCTAAAGATTAGGTGGTTCCTAGGAGAGGACATTCCTCTGAGATATGACCAAGAATATGACAGTTATGACAACTCAAGGCAGAAACATGATTGATTTGAGCTGGAGCTCGTTCCTTAACTTCTTAGGCTTCTAACCTTCGCAGAATTATCGTTATCTTTACTTTAGAAGCAATGATTGATTCTAAGGAAAGACCACTAAACTTAGGTTAGAAAACTGATGCAACTCTGTCATCATAGTGTTCCCACTACATGGTTTTCTCGGACAGATTTTCTAGAAATTCTCAAGCTTTGTTAGCATTCTTTTTCATGAAATCCCCTTAGCACATGGATTCTAAGGAAATCTTTAAAGAATAGTCTAATCCTTCATAGATTATTTGGCATAATCGCCATTTCTCGAGACCGTGATGAGGACATTAGATGAGAAGATCCTTAAATCTATCAAAGTACTTCTAGAATGGCTCCCCCGGGATAATTTTAAAGTTTTGAATGTTGTTTCTAAGCTTTATTGTTTTATGAATTGGGAAATTTTTCTTAAGAAAAATGGTGACAGATTCATCCCAAGTTGAGATGGAATTTGTTAGTAAACTATACAGCCATTTTTTTACCTTATCCTTAAGAGCAAATGGAATAAATTTGAGTTTGATTGCATGTTTAGTTAATTCTCTTATTTTAATCATAATGCACACTTCCTCAAATTCTGAGATAAAAATATAAGCATCTTCAGTTTTATTTCCTAAAAATTTTGGAAGCATGTTTATATAGTACAGTCGAAGCTCAAAATTAGTTCCATTTGCTTCAAGGGGTTTAATGCAAGAAGGGATTGCATTCCTAGTGAGATAACACATATCTTGGAGAACGGTTTGATTAGTCATTTCTTCAATTGGTTCAACACGAATTAAGCGATTAGTATTATCCCTAATCCACACTTGCATACACCAAAACAATTTTTTTTCTAAAAGAAATATAAGAGTTAGAGTTTTTTTATTAAAAGACAATAAGACAAAAATGAGAAAAAGAAAAACCTAGCTAAAACAAATCAAAACAATCACTTTTGTCAATCACCCTAAATTCTAAGGTTAAGCCTAACTCAGCTAGACTAGCTCCTAACTAAAAACTCCTTTAGTAAAAAGTTCAAAGTTTACTCGGTCAGTAAGCCAGGTAAGGATAGTACTAGAGGGAGATCAAAGATTGATTAAGTACATCATTCCTTACAAAGCACTTTACGCAAACCTTAAACCTTGCCTTAGACACCAACGGATTCAAGTAAACTTAAATCGGTTCACTTAAGGATTTCTTATTCCTTAATGAACTCGAGTCCTTAGAGGTCAACATCTAATGAGTTTTAAAGAGGCTTGACTTTATGTAGTGATGAATTAATGATTTCTGGGCTAAGGAAAGGGTGATGAAATCCCTCACCTTATCTCGATTAGGGGGTTTTGCCCTTAAAAATATTTTTAAATGTGTGTCAAATCAAGATGCTCAAATCACTTGGGTGAATTTCTACTAACTATATGCAATGTAACCCTATGAATTAAAAGCGACTACAAAATGATGATAAAAAAAATCTATTTTTATTATAGTCAACAATCCAACAAAAGTGAGAAGGGAGATACTGTTCAATTATTATCTTGTTAGTAATTATTCAAGTGGAGGATAAATTTTATTATGATCGACGAAATTAAAAAAATTTAAGTCATACTTGTCTCTAATTGTGAAGACTAACTAGAGGGTGGAATTGAAAATACTAGATAGACTCAAGCAAATCTTCAAATCCTCGATCTCCAATTCGTGATCTTCAAGCTCCAAGTGGTTTCTTCACAAGAAAAACACACAAGTTAAAGAACCAAAATAATTAAAATCCTACTAAAACACCATCCCCGGCAATTGCGCCAAAAACTTAACGGGGCATAAATGATGTCTAAAAGTTGCAAGTGCACAACTAATCAAGTTATAGTATAAAAAAGTTATCGATCCCATGAGGAAGGTGTTTATAGGAGAAAATTAGATTCAGTTCTTATGTTGTGTGCATGGCAATTAGGAGTGAGAAAAATTGTAATTGTGGAGATATATGAGGAGTATTGTGAATATGTGCAAAAGTTAATAAATGAGATTTAGATGATAGAAATAAAGAGTGGATGTGATAAAAGAATAAATAAAATCATAAGGAAAGAAAAATAAAGGATATAAAAATCAAGAAACAAATAAGAGAAAATCAAGAACTAAAAAAATCAAGAAAGAAAAGATGGAGGATTCAATTAAAAATATGAGAAATCTGGAATTTAATCCACTAGCTAATCTCAATTATAAAATATGAACTATTCTCTTTTTATCACACTAGTATGATGCATGTGCGTTGCACGTGTAAATACTTTCATGTTTATATGTAGCCCTATAGTTTTTATTGCATTGATTAATTTTTTTTCTACTTAACATATATACGTGAAAGATGTCATAGATAATATATATATTATTTATATGATATAAATAGATGTTATAGGGTTATAAATAGCATCATAAAAAACACTAATTTTGCATATAAAAAACCAGTATATTGACCAAAAAGACTATAAATAAATGAAGTAACCGAAATTATTTAATTATATGTTCACTTAATGTAGCATAATCATATCTTATTTAAGTTTGATATAAATAGACAGAAAAGAGCTCAATTTTAGCAGGATTCATCAACTTCAAAAGATGCATCTTTGTCAAACTGTAGAGAGCCATGGGGAATTGGGCTGCAGCAAGGCAATTTGGTTTGATCTATAATAGGTAGAGTCCATGACCTGTAAACAGAACTGAATCGAGCATGATCAGGCATCATAAACTTATGGAAGATCAAACCTAACTATAAATGTTACATAAATGGGGAAATTACCTTTGAGATCAAAGATAGTCCGTTGCATTGTAAATAGTTAACAACTTTAATACACATCTTCGTTGCATATTAGAATATTGTGTTAGATAATAATTGTTTGAAAGTTAATTTGTACAAAATGTGCATCATAGAATGAAAAAATAATGAGTCATGAAATTGATGAGTTGATTTACCTTTGAGGCAATAATACTTCTGGATACACAATATTTTTCGCGTATGTTTTTGTTGTTCTTCTTGTTTGGTCAACTTTCACTAATACCTTAGTTGTTCTCATTGATATCCCCCTTGATAATGCAACATATAATTGACCATGTGAGAATACATGGTGTGGCAAATAAACTCCAACATAAGGTATTGTTTGTCCCTGCGCTTTGTTTATTGTCATTGCAAAACATAGTCGGATTGGAAATTGTTTTCTACGAAATTGGAATGGATAACCCTCATTTTCAGCTGGAGATAATGGTATTCTCGGAATCATGACATTTTGACCAGAATGTTGACCAATTGTGATTTCAGCATGGATAACATTATGTTCATATCCTCTATAGATCATTCGTGTGCCATTGCACATTCCATTAGATGGATCAAGATTACGTAACAGCATGATCAAACAATTTCTTTTAAGAATCAACTTGTGAGGCGGGAGTCCATTCGGCATTAAGGTGTTCAAGAACTCTTCTTGGTAATAATTATTTGTGTCATCTACTGCTTCAACAAAACTAAAGAATGTTTTAGCTTCACCAGGAAATAATGCAATTAATTTTTCATTAAGTCCATCAACATACTCATTCCTTGTTGAAAGAATAGCACGTTGTGTCATATATTCAGCAGATGATGAATTTGATTGTAATGATGGAAAGATAGCATCAATCAAATTTTTTTCAGAGTTTTCATCATTGTCATATTCTACTACCATTTCATGTGGAAGAAGTATCAAATTCTCATCTATTGTGGGTTCCTCTCCATTCCCCACGCGCAATAAGAACTCTCCAAATACTTGATCAGTTCTTGCTCTCATATTAATAGTGAGAGATAATTTTTCCATTTTTTCCCAGAGATATGATTTCACAAGACTTGCATTGACTGTTTCTGCTCTAGTGCCTCGTGGAACAACTGGTAGAACTTGACGAAAATCACCTCCAAACACGACTACTTTTCCACCAAAAATTCTTTTGTCACCCATTACATCCCTCAATGTTCTGTCAACCGTCTCAATCGCAAATCTTTTTGCCATAGGTGCTTCATCCCATATTATAAGTGATGCCAATCGTATCAATTTTGATGTTCCATCCTGCTTTGATATATTGCACATTGTAGTTTCATTAGCAGTAATTGGAATTTTGAATCGTGAATGTGCAGTTCGCCCTCCTGGCATTATTACTGCAGCCACTCCTGATGTCGCTGTTGCTAATGCTATCATCTTTCTTGATCTTAGATTTGCAAGCAATGCACGATAAAGAAAAGTTTTACCTGTTCCTCCCGGACCATCCACAAAAAATATTCCAGATTTTTTTTTGTTGACTCTATCTAATATGATATCGAAGGCTTGTTTTTGCCTTGGGTTTAACTTTGATTGAGCATGAAAATCTTCAAATGGAATGTCTATCTCACTTTCATCAATAATTTCTCTTGGTAAAGTTTGACATTGGTCAACATCATCATGTATCAGTAATGGTAGATCATAATCTACAATATGTTTACCCATACTCTCAAGGAATAGACTAATGCTTTTTAATGTCCATGCAACACGAGCTGGTAGCATGTAATCATCTACTCCTCCCTTGAAATCTTCTGTCATCGCTTCAAAATGATTGTTCCATAGTTTTCTTACATTTGATGGTTGGCAATAAACTAAAATAATGGCAAATAATCTTCGTAGTGCATAAGGCATTTGGAAGGTAGTGGCCTCAACTAAACAATCAGAAATACTATCATCAGCTTCTAGTAATCCTCTTTTTTGTGCAGCTTCCTTGAAGGACTTATATGCAATACCATCAATTGTTAAAAGATATTCCCATGAAGTAGGTCCCCTCACATGATTTAACAATAGACATAAATAATATCTCTCTCCTTCTTTTGGGTTTGCAGCGTTTATACGACCAATGACAAGTTTGTGCTTCCGATCAGACCAAATCTTTGCTTGGTTACTCCACACGTAGTGTTCAGGAAATTCGACGTATAAAAATTTCCTTGCATTTTCAGTTGTTGTGCATTTTGTGAAGAATTCAGTGAGCATAGTTTTTGATGATCTTTCTGAACCTATTACATCACGAAGATCTCGATGTTGCCAATAACAAATTGATTGCTTATCTGGAAGATGTAACTGAAGACTAATAACTGGAGGAGTAGTTTCATTCATCTTGAATTCATACATTCTCCAAAATGCTTCTTGCGCTGACACCCACCGCCCATCTTGGAAATGTTTTATTTCATCAAACTTATTTTGCTCTTCATTGTGTGCAAGGTAGATAGAGATCTTGTCGTGCCCTTTATATATATATTTATATAAATATTTGATCACTTTTACACTTGAGAAAACCTCAACATTAATGTGGCAATTGTACCTGTTAAGAAGATATGACGATATCATATTTAGAGATTTTCTCACATAGTATATTTTTTGTTGAAATGTTCTCATAAATAATAAACTTTAAAGCTATTATGAAGATTGTACCTGGTAAGGAGATATGGATTATAAGGAACAACCCATTGGTTGTTCAACTCTGCTCGACGCACACTTACTTTTCTACCATTATTCCTCCTCATGTAAATTGGATATGAATCTTTACCAACTATTGTCTTAGAGAAAAAAGGTCGTGGATAATGATGTCTACATTCTTGATTAACCATGCAAGGGCTGTCCATGCGGTGTTTCCCACAGGGACCATGCATCATATGTTTGACAACCATTTCATGAAGTCTTGAATGAGTAGACACATCTGGGATTTCTGCTGAAATATATTTATTGAACTGGTCAGGAGTTAAGATTTTGCAATCACCTTTCAATATAACCAAGATATGAGCATGTGGAAGCCCTCTTTTTTGAAATTCAATCACATACACATGCGCTCCAACTCTTCCAAAGACATTCTTTTTAAAAAGTTGATCTTTTAGGTCTTCAAGTTTTGAACGGAATACACGTGATGTCAAATCAGGTCTGTCTTGAGCAACTTGTCCCATTAGAAGTTCGTCTTTTATTTCTTTCCAATCTGGATTACAAGTCATCGTAATGAAAATATCTGGTTTACCAAACCTCTGAACCAAAGCCATTGCATCCATATACCGACGCCGCATGTCTCTTGGTCCTCCAATGAAAGATGCAGGTAAGATAACCGTTTTTGCCCAACTTGATCACCTCGAGTTTCACCGGTGGTTAGACTATCCATTATTCCTTAATACACTTCAGCTCTTATTTCTGATTGTTTGTTCCGAAAGTAATCAAGTCTAGTTGTCTCAAGTTTGATATACATGTCTACTACAAATTGTTGTAACAATCTTCCAGTAAGCAAAATCACAGATGGTTCTGATTCTCTTATTTGTAACTTGTAGCAATAATATTCTCTGCATGAAACATGAGATTGCTTTGGCATAGTGACACCTATATGGGAAAAAAATTTATTAACATTTAATATATGAAGAAATATTATTGACCACAAATGTAAAATAAGTATATTTATGATAAATTACCTGTCTGTTCTTGTTGTAATAGTTCTTGTACCGATGAGAATCGAAATTGACTTGAATTATTGTTTTGTTTGGAGATGGAGCAATCAATTTTTATGATATTTTGATGCCATCCGGATTCACCTTTCGGAAATAAAAGCGGGTATTGCAATGGATCATAGCAACCATAATAATGCTTCACATAATGTCTTTGACCAGAGTGTTCATGAATCACAATCTCCCTTTCAAATGGAACATTTGAATTATTCCCTTCAATCCATATGGCAACAACTTCATTGGATGTTGGTGTTTTATAGACCCGTTGATCAAGGTTGGTATTTGTAGCAATACAAACACGGATATCTTTGAATGATTCAAGATCTCTCAATGAACGAAGGAAAATAGCATATGGATTATCTTTCAAGATTTCCATTACCATTTTCATAACGCCCTCATCAATTATGTTATTTTGCAATATTTTCATTCGATTGTGAAGCTCATTATCACAATCATGAAAGTACAATTGGAAAAAAGCAGGTTTATCTGTGTTTGGTATCAAACCCGGTAAATGGTGGTAAATTTGCCCTTGTGCTCGAAATGTATAAACACCGTTCGTCGATGATGCCAAACTTTTATCAATAGTAGCTCCAAATGAGGTGAATGAGAATAGATTATTGTATTTTCGGATATTTTTACGGAACTCTATTGCTTTTGTAGTGTTGGACTTGAACAATGAGTAAAGAGTTGGATGGACATGCGTTGAAGCCAATTTGATTCGTTCATTATCGCAGCAAAATGTTGGGACTTCATGTTCGAATTTCTTTGCTCCACAATGAATACAGTGCGGGACTACTTTCATTTGATGTAACTCTGAGCATGAAGGATTATAGAATGTGTTTCCTATAAAATAAATTAAGCGATTAGTATTTAATTTTGTATACCGTGAGTTTTATATAATTTTAGTGTGTTGAATATACCTTGAAATTGATATTCTGATTGTGTAGCACGAAGTAACCACTTGACTCGTCGTTTAGCAGGACTATGATGATCATTCAATGCACCGAGACTTGATTCACGCCTATTCTCAATGGATCTATTTATATAAGAATTTCGCTCTTCTTGAGTGAGATTGGTATAATAATCTTTGAAGTAATTATTCCGCTTTCGCTTTCTTGAGGTCTCTCCATCTGCAAATTTATATTAAAATTTATTAATAATTACATTTTAGAATTGAAGGAAACATTTTAGATATTAAGAACATAGTTCAAACCTCCATCAAAAGTCATCTCTGGTCTAGTCTGTTGAAATGAAACACATGTAAAAGCAATGGAATATAAGTAACTATATGTAACAATTTATTCATATATACATATGCAGAATGAAGGAAATTTAGTTTGGCGATGAGCGAGAATTTTCAAGTATCATATTTTGACTTGGTATTTCTCATAATGTGAAGTTATTTTGTTGTATATATGGAAATTAGATATCAATAAAATATGAAAATTACATGAAATAATTACATTTTCATATTACTGTGATGAAGAGGTGATATGAATTTTACATATTGTATTGTGTTGTATATATGCTAAGTTAGCTATCAAATTATGGTATGGAATGTGCAAAGCACGTGTACCTATTCCAAAAATATTATGATGTGGATATAGCTACAAAAATAGATAGAAACTCCCAAAATAAAAAAAGAAATATTGCAACAAACAAATACCTTCTTTTCACAAAAGTGGAATGCTTGCTCCTTTGCCTCTACCAGGTTCTCTTCAAGCTAAAAAAGAAATATTATTAGCTTCTCATACTTAGCATTAGACTTCTTGATAAATATATACTTCTTAAAATAACATAACTAACTTTGGAGAAGATATATTAATATTTTTTTTTTCTAATAGAGAGAAAAGATATTAAGGTTAATGGAGGTTTAGAGTTTAGATGAGTGGTTGAACAATTTTCTGGAGAGAATGTGAGTGGGATTTATACAGATATGAAAGCAATTCAAATATTTTGAGGATATTTACTTAAAGATTTGGAATAAATTTTAATTTAAGAAATGTGTTTCATTAGGTAAGAAATTTTGGTAATTGACCTAATAAAAATAAAGTTGTTGTATTTAGTAATAATTAACTTGTAGCCAATATTTAGCATTATTGAAACGTTTTTGCTCTCCCTATTTATTCTTAATTATTTGTTAAGATTTGGCTTAGATGAATAACAGAACCGTGCACAAATTTATAGTAAAAATGATATTATTATAACACTTAAGATATATATATATATATATATATATATATATTATTTTATTCATAATTATTTATAAATGAGGTAAGTCATTACCGTTACTTCATAATAATTCATAAATTAGGTAAGTAATGGTTACTTAATAATTATTTGCTAGCCAAATCAAAATAGGAGAGAAAAAACGTTTTGTATATTTCACCAAACGAATGCACGTGATTCAGAGAAACAAAACAGGAATAAATATTAATATGCAATTTCTTTAAATAATTCATAAATGAGCAAATAGGACCTAATTAATCAGGAATAAATATTAATATACAAAACGTCCTCATTTATTAAAGAAATGAGGAATAACTTCATCAGGAATAAATATTAATATACAAAACGTCCTGATTAGGTCATATATATAAATGAGCAAATAGTAACAATTTCTTACCTAATCAGGAATAAATATTAATATACAATAACTTACCTCATCAGTAACAATTTCTTACCTGATGAGGTAAGAAATTTCTTTAATAAATGAGCAAACAGGAATAAATATTAATATACAAAACGTCCTTATTTATAAAACGTCCTCATTTATAAATGAGCAAATAGTAACAATTTCTTACCTAATCAGGAATAAATATTAATATACAATTACTTACCTCATCAGTAACAATTTCTTACCTGATGAGGTAAGAAATATCTTTAATAAATAAGCAAACAGGAATAAATATTAATATACAAAATGTCCTTATTTATAAAACGTCCTCATTTATAAATGAGCAAATAGTAACAATTTCTTACCTAATCAGGAATAAATATTAATATACAATTACTTACCTCATCAGTAACAATTTCTTACCTAATGAGGTAAGAAATTTCTTTAATAAATGAGCAAACAGGAATAAATATTAATATACAAAACGTCCTTCTTTCACATATTTGTTGTGGAGTATATTTGCCAATAATTCATAATTATTTATAAATGAGGTAAGTCATTACCGTTACTTCATAATAATTTATAAATGAGGTAAGTCATTGTTAGTTAATAATTATTTGCTAGCAAAATCTTACCAAATAGGAATAAATAGGGAGAGAAAAAACGTTTTGTATAGTTGGCCAATTTTAGAAATGTTTTGTAAAGAAATTATATAGTTTTGCCAAATATTTATTTAAAGATTTGGAATCAATTTTAATTTAAGAATTTTGTTTCATTAGGTAATAAATTTTGGTGATTGACCTAAACAGGATAAAATTGTTGTATTTAGTAATAAATAAGCCGATATTTAGCATTATTGATTCGTTTTTTCTCCCCCTATTTATTCCTAATTATCATAAATATGTAAAAATAATTATGAAGTTATGGAATTATCATATCATAAATGAAAAAATAATTTGCCAATTGTAGAATGGTTTAGCAAATCCAAAATCGTTTTTGCTCTCCCTATTTATTCTTATTTGGTAAGACTTGCCTTATAACTTAATTATGTAGTAATAATGACTTGCCAAATAATTATTAAGTAATGAAATTATCATTAATGGAAAAAATAGATGAGGTAAGTCCGTGTGTTTGAAAATCGGTGCAATTGTAGAAACTTTTTGTAAATATGAAAAAATAATTATGAAGCAACGGAATTATCATAAATGAAAAAATAATTTGTCAAATGTGAATGGTTTAGCAAATCCTAAAACGTTTTGCTCACCCTATTTATTCTTATTTAGTAAGACTTGCTTATAACTTAATTATGTAGTAATAATGACTTGCCAAATAATTATTAAGTAATAGAATTATCATTAATGGAAAAAATAGATGAGGTAAGATCGTTACTTCATAATTATTTTACCAAATAATTTCAAAAGAAACATTCGATTGTGACCATCTCTATGGTAAAAACATGGGTCTGAGGTTGTCTAAGGGGGTGTTTGGTTCAATTTCTAGAAATTATAGGGAATGTTTTCCACCTAAAATATGATTTTCTTGTATTTCTTAAAAAAATTATAGGAAAAGTTTTGAGAAATCAAAAAGTACCAATTTTCTTATTTTTTGTACTTTGGTTGTTTGGTTCAAACCAAGAAAATAGCTCATAACTTTATAGAAAAGAACAAGATTTGGTAGGGTTTTAATTAAATATGGTATGTGTCAGATTTCTGGTGATTTCCTCTCATTTTGAGAGAAAATTGCTTTTTGTAAAATTTGGTAGGTTTTGATATTTTATAGAAAATATTTCTGTAAATTTTTTGTTGAACCAAACACAATTTACAGAAATCTCTGGAAAACTTTTAATTACAAATTTACCATTGTTAGATATTTTGAGAAAAGTTTTCTCAAAAAATGTGCAACCAAACAGCCCCTAAGACAAAAATTGGGACAATAAAAGCCATAACACAGAAGTTGGGATATTTAGCATACCATTAAACAAAATAGAAGAAATCAAGTTACATATTGATCAATATAGTATAAACAAAAAATTTCCTGATGAAGTTATATATGAATCACTATAGTATTTCTTATTACCCAGGGATAATCCTTTCTGGTCATGTGGACTGAGGTTTTAGCTCTATCAAATCTACGCCACAATTCTTTAGGATCCTATCAAAAGTTTCACATCTAAGTGGCAGGGAGGATATATGTATTAATTTCTGACGTCCATATTAATTTCTTATGTTCATCCTCAGTTTCAAGGCATTAATTAAAGTTTTTACTTAAGATTAAATTATTTCATATGCCAAGGTTGCAAAAGTTGTTATTTGTCCGAAGTAAATAAGAATTGAGGACAACCTGCACAACAACTTCAGCAATGTAACAATGACAAGAAAAAAGAAATGAGATAACCAATATGTTGGGATGCCATCAATCGGAGATGTCATCAAAGTACACAGAGGAAACTCCTTCAACAATCTAACGAATTAAAAGCTTAATTATTAAAATATAACGGTTAACCATATAAAATTAGAACTAATTATTAAAGATGACAAAAAAGAGTGATCACATTACAGCTAAAGAATAAAATAACATTATAACAAAAAAAATTACAAATCTCAGCTGCTTGAAGTACTTGGTTCCATTTTCATTTTCTTTTTCAGCATTTCACTCTTGAGTCCAAATAGTCATTTTCTGGCGTCAATAACTTTGTTCCTGCCAGTTTCTTCAGTTTCCACAGTAGGAGGGTGTATTTCTTCTACTTTTCGAACCTCCTGCGCAATTATACATCTTGCTTTTCGATTGGATTCTTCTTTCTCATTTATCTTCACAAGGAAAACATATTCCTTTTCTAAGCATGATTTCATTTTCTGGTAGCATTCAGAAGATTCATCCTCAAACATCTCTACATATGCAATAGCTGTGCAACCAATTAAAATTTCTGCTTCGTCAAATAAAGTTACATATGCTGTATCTGTTCCATCATTCACCTCTAGTCGCAAATTATACCTGGAATGATTTTTTGCATAAGAAAGCGTACATACATATTAACAATAATCTAATAATAAGTGTATATTATCCAACCTGATTGTCCAATCTGAATTTCCATTTTTACAGTTTGTACAATTTGCTGTGCTGCCATTAATCTCATGCACTGCCTTTTTGCATTTTGTACATGCACTAAAAAATGGTTCTTCCGCATTGATTATTGTTATAATTTTTGCCACAAATGAGCAAAACATACTCTGAAGAGAAGTCAAATAACAAAAGGACTTAGATGATTAATTTAATTAAATTTCATTATTACTAAATTTAACATACCTTAGACAATTGAGGCGAAGTATTGATAACATCAATAAGCTTGACCCTATTTGCTTGAGTAATCCTTTTTGTTGTTGTCAACAATACACTTTTACTGCTTTCACTGTTTGAATTTTTAAGCCTAAAATTTATGAGAAGTAAGAGTTAAATTTAATGAATAATTTAATTTAATAAATGTTTTTTTATATATGCCCCTTTAATTATAGATATGTTAAAACTTACACCACATGTAGTTATATTTCTAATTCGTAAAGTTTAATGACAGAATTTACATTATTTTACTGTTTATATATTTTTAAGAAATAAATGACCCAAATATTCAATGTTAATGGCCAAAAAATAACAATGGACAAAAAAATATTAAAAAACTTGAGAAGATTTGATATAATATTTTTGTATATGTTGGACTTGCCAACAAAAACCATACCTAGGACGTGCAACTGCACCATAGTGATTATTTATTGGCAATTAATCTATTCACTGATCATGAATTTTTTTTCCAACTTACCAGTCTATCATTTCGCTACATTGTGGAATTTCAGGATTCACGAGCACCAGAGTTGATGATTTTGTAGTAATTGAAACTCGCCTAAAAATAAAACAAACTTGAAATTAAAATATTTTCAAATCATTTTAAAACCATGCTTGTCGTTATTTTTTTTTACCTAAATAGCGTCTACCAACTACGCTTAGCAATGCAACAACAGGTTTCGCATCTTTCAAATTCTCCAAAGACGATCCTTCAATCTCCGCTAAATCACCCCATAGTGTCACCGAAATTTGATCAAATCTAAAATATTTAAAAAACATTAGTTTTCTTACCAATAATCAGTACATAATAATAAACAATAATATTAAATTCTTACTCTTTATTCATAATTATGACCTCCCTTCTTTTGGATTTGGGATTGGTAAAAATTGGTTTCACAGTTATTACGAATCCAACAACATCTGCAATAGTGAAAATTTAGTGATTATTAATATGAATTATTTTTCACATAATATTTTAAAAAAACTTACCAAAAGGCATTATTCCATCATCAAAAGCAGAAACATCTTTAAATGAAAGGAATGTTGGTTTCAACTTTTCCAATGATACAATTTTTTTTGTTTCTCGAATGATTGTCTTTGTTGTGAGTGTCAACTCCTTTTCTGGATTAATTGTTGGATATTTCAAATTTGGAGGCTTTACTTCTCCATTGGTTATAGTATACGTCTCTTCCTTTATCAATAAACCGCTGAACTTTTCTATCAGCTTATTAAATAAAATTGCTTGGATAAGTGTTCCCTGCAAAATAAACAATGTAGAATAAATTACGTAATCATGGTAATATGATAATTAAATGAAATAATAACAATGTGAAATTCGTATCACCTCTTCATCAATTAGAATTAGCTTTTGTTTATTCCCTTCTCCATTCTTAAAGGAGTCTATAGTATTACGTAAGACACGAACATTTATACTCCATTGTTTTTGATAAATTTTTAACTCTCGGATCGCGATGTTGGCTTGATCATTAGTTCCATCTTGATCAGATGACAGGCTTCACGAAAAAAAAAATATAATTTATAGAGATAATGCGGAGTTTATACCTTACAAAAAAAACATGATTTTACTAACCTTTTTGAATCACATAGTGTTGCTTCCATCTCTATTTTTTTGGTAGGATTTGATAAGATTTGGTAAGATGGAAGTTGAGTATGGAGTATATTTATATGAGATAGAAGAGACAAAATTGTAAATAACATTCATTACATAGTTATGAGAGAAAAAAAAATTGTAACGGATGACATTAATTCAGCATCTGCAGAAGTTTGGCGGCATTGACGATTAGTGGTCGTGTTCACACATGTACGTACTTTAGCTGTATACTCATTCTCATATTAAATAATTGGGAAAATTGCTTCCATACTCATTTTGGTTTCTTCTCTCGTGGCCGTTTGAGGTAACTATTAATTCAGCAAGCGTTAAGTTTCAATTAAAATGTATGTTTTATGTAACACCCAATAATGTCATTTAGTGTATTCTTCAATCGGCATAGCTATTCTAACATATTAATAGCTAATTATAAAGATCATTTATATGTGCGTGTAAGTTACAAAGCTAGTAATCTGATCTCTTACATAGTAATCTGGCTTTGTAACTTACTTTTTATGCCTCACAGCTAACATTTTTTCAATTAATTCAGCAACGCACGTACCTAATGATTAGTGGCCGTTTAAGCTCTAAGGCATACGTTACTCATTTTGGTCAGTCCATGCTTGACTTGGTTTCTCTACATAAATTTGTATGTTTTATGTATGTGTTATGTTATGTATGTATATGGTTTAGCATAAATTTGAGGGCACTTTGGGAAGAAATGTTTTAACATGCCAACACACTTTTATAATAGTATTAGATTTTACTTTAGATTTATTAAGCATAGACTATCAAACCATTTAAGAAAAGTATAGTCTATCATCTACGCAAAATTAATATTCATGACAATAACAACAACAAGATATTAATTCTAGAATTCACAAGCATAACATATCAAACCATTTAAGATAAGCATAGATTATTAAATTCTTCTTCTATCAATTGGTTCTCTAGTTGATTATCCTATACATGATCATTTTAAGCATAAGAGAATAATTCATGCAATATAAAGAAAATAAAGCTAATTTCATGTAATTTTAAGTTTCCTACAAGAATTAGTTCTACATCTTAAGAAATAAAAATAAGGAATAAAATGAAAAGAATAAGAACTAATTACAAAGAAAAGAAATAAGAACAAGGAACTTTACACTATGAATAAGAAATAAATCTAACTAAATTACAAAAAGAAATAAAAATCTACATTATGTAATAAAATAAATCTACTCTACAATTAAAAATGTAAAATAAAATAAAGACAAGGAATCTACTCTACTAGACATGAATATAAATCTAAACTAATAAGCAATAAAAAAGAAATTACTATAAAGAAATAAAAGAGAAAATAAAAGCAAACCTTCACATTGATCTTCATCTTCATCATCATCATCAAATAAAGAGAAGAAAATATGAAGAGGTGAAAAAAATTTTATTAATTATAACAAAAGTTATAAATTTGGAAGGTCTTCTCAATTAATAGTAACCCTCCTCTCCAAATAGAGTTATAAAATTTTTCACATCCTTAACCCATCACTCTCTACCCCTAATTATAGTAAACATCTATGAATGTAAAATGCTAATCCATAAGAGCTCCATTTTCAGCCTTTGATTCATAACAGACTCGTCAGCATCGATGTTGGCATCAATGCCACCATCGATGCTAGCATTGATGGCCAGCCTTCTCTAATTGTTGCCTGCGGATTTTTTTTCTTCCATTGGCTTTAGGCTTGAGCTTTTTGGCTCTTTCATGTATTCTTCATTTAATACAAGGGCATTGTTGAGAGATATGGTTGTTAGGCTTTATTTTTTATTAACCTGCAATTAAAGATAAAAACAATTATTAGTGATATATTTATTCATATAAAATAGATAATAAGGGTAAAAAATTATAATAAAATGTGATTATCAATGAGCGAATCAACACGATAGGTAAGGCTCTGTGTGACAGCGCTCTTTCACACGAAGAATGTGATATCCGGGCCAGATGTTCATCAACCATCGGAAGCAACCTATATCAAGGATAGCATGCCCCGTCCCTGGCCTCTCTTCATCAATCAGCAAATTATTATAATGGCCGAAGAAACAAGGGAAGCATTTGAAGAATTCCCAACACTTGTGGATGTGAAGATTTTGCCTTGCTTCATGGAAACTTCTCGCAACCCACATGCTCTCTTCTAATGACTGCAAGAGAGGAATGGAAGGATCTGCGATGCTTGGTGCTGACATTAGGTTGGGACGATGGAGAACAAGCTATGCCATCATATAAGTATACGGGAGCTTGACCTTGATAGGGGGAATCTCGTTCAATGGCTTATGCCCTACCTGTGTGAAGCCAGAAACTAATTATCGAAGCCCACTGTGTATATCGGTGACCATCGCCGGAAGTAAGGAAAGGTCTTTCCCATAAGCAAGCTAGATGGTAGGGAAGAGAACCTCTATCTGTAAGGCGGTGGAGAACTGATAAGATATGATGCACTTCTTCAGTCAAATGACGATATATCCTGCAAGAAGATTCATGGGCCAAACCCACTGCTGGCCATGCCACAAGAATGTCTAAAACTTGGTCCTCGTTGGAAACTTTCCCTCAGCAGCAAAAGTAGTGTATGATTAGGCACCTATCTTCTCAATTATATTATTGATCTCTGAGAGAGTAAGAGGAGTTAACTCAGAAACTGCTTCACTGGAACTATCCTCTAGGCGCTAGAACAAGTAGTCGTTGAATTATTTTAGGCTTAGCTGTGGTGATGTCTTATTCGCCACAACACCTACGCTAGCTTAAGCCATATAATAATGACACGTACGATCCCACAACATGTCACGAATATCCGGAGAGGTCTTCTCCAATTTCCTTAGCTGTTGGTTGGGGAGAATACTCCTGATATGGATGATCGCCTATAGGAAGTCCAGAAACCTTCTGCATCTCATGAAGAGCCAACCCCAACTCTCCATTGCGAGTTAAAAAAGTGTTGGTGTCAGGATTATAAAGCTCTAACAATACCAAGAAATGGAGTTTACTGATCTGCAATGTGTACGTACTGGCCTATATCGGTGTATACAATCCGCTATTCTTCAACTCATTACCCCAGCGTCCAAGAACATAGCTCATCATATGAGTCCATCATTTCTTCACCGGTGAGTGCACCCATCTATAACACATATATCCTAACACAGGGAGTTCCCTCCCAAGTCTGGCAAGCTGATTCCTCATCGTGTTGGCGACTACCGATAGCTCATCCGGCGGTGCTGTATCAAGTCCCAGAATGCCCGGTTGGAGAACATGAATAAAGTCCTGCCCATCAGAACCCGGGGTCTGCTGATAAGTAATAAACCCACAATGGACTCGCTCATGATCATCCGTGAGATGCTAAGGCATCACCCGAATTTTGGCTTGCTTCCTCAAACGTACAAGGGTATATATAGCAAACTCCTACCATCCTCGTTCAACAATGCTCATCCTCAAGGGTTAGCATATCCAGGTCTTCAACATGATCACCAAACAAATAGTCCGGCTTCTTCAGGGCTTGAGTAGAGCTAGGATCTATAGTAAGTAAGGCGTTGATGATCTGCCATCATAGTGTACGACGATCCCCATCTCACACAAGCTGAGGAATTTCCCTGGGCCCGTCCGAATTGAATTGAAGAGCAATGGCGACGAATGGTGCATCGTCAACAGCAATAAAAGTCTCGCCACTACCGCCACTTGCCACATGAGATGAGAACACATCTGAGGGGAATTCAACTGAAACAAATAAAACACAGTTAGAAAAATATTTCTAAGGAAATACAAAAGGTTGAACTCATCTCACAAATCCGCGAGATAGGGTCATTACCTTGTAAATTGGCGAGACGATTTCAACTGCCTCACATGTAAGGGACAATGTACATTGTTGTGTAGATAACGTGACAATATACCCCACCCGATGGAGTGCAATACAACATGAAATTGCCCTATTTACCATAGAACGTGTTTTGATGAAACAAAACACGTCTTTTAAGCGTTAAACCCTGCAAAGGAGGATATCCGCTCTTCTCGAATGCCTTGGAAAGGAGACAAAAGAGGGTGAAACATTCAAAATATTAATTTGAGTATACAAGAGCTATAAAGGCTCACCCCCATATGAAGAAGCTGCGAGAGCCATTCTCCTAATATGTTGAGAGACCGATCGACTCTTGTGAAAACGTGGACGCCTCAGAGACATTACTAACTTATAGTGAAAATTAACGGTTTAGGTACACTTTCTAATTCAGAAACCTAAAATTAAAAGGGAAATTATGAACTTTAGCCAAAATCCTATAAACAAAATAGGATTTTATGGTTGGAGTCTAATTAAATCTACGGGATTCATACATACAAACGATGGATTTGATTTTCATCCAAAACCCTTCAAGTTCAACTTTTGGCCAAATTACCCAAAATACCCTTCATGTCTCAAGCTCAATTTTGGCCATGAGCACATCAAAAATTCGGCCATGTTTGAGAAAAAACCACCATCCTCAAATCCATTTTTTTTTTTGCCATTATAACCATCATCCTTAAACCCCAACTTTGAACAAAATGCACACAACCCCCTCATATCAAATTTTGACCATCATCACCATGCTCAAGCCCTCAAATTTTCGGCCATACCCACATCAAAAAACCCCTCAAAAGTTTTGGCCATCATCACCATGCTCAAGCCCATCAAAAATTTCGGCCTTGATTCCCTCCAAAACCCCATCAAAATTTCGGCCATATTCCCTAAACCCAAGTTCTCAAATTCCCTCCAAAATCCAAATTCAAGTCGTTAGATCAAAGCTCTAATCTTTGCATACAAGTTCATGAACTATTGAATCACGCCCATGAATTCTTACATACAAACCCATGAGTTCTTGAATCAAAATCAAGCATATAATAAAGAGTCTATGAAGAGGATCTTACCCAAGAAGAGGCTTGAACTCAAGAAGCTTCAACCCAATGCCAAGAACGCAACTCAAAAAGCTTGCCCTAGATCTTGAAAGAGGAGACCTTGGTCGAATTTCTTGAGAGTT